CGCTACGCCGGCGGTTGGAATCTTCTCCAGCATATGAAACGCATCCATAGGAAGACATCAAACAATTAATTTGTAAATTGAAATAAAGTTTATGTAGTTTTATATTTATTAATCGTTTGAATATTGAGTTATTTAGTCTTTAGTAAATGTATTTCATTGAAATTAATATACAATACAGTTCTTTAATCAATAAACAGTGTATTAATTATGATTAAAATTGATTTGTGTTGAGTTCCCAACACTTCCTAATCATTGCTATACTTTAATTCTCAATACACTTATTATTGACTGATTTTTACAGTAATTGTTATGTTTTATAATGTATTGAATTATTATGAGAAACAATTCATTCAAAATTAGCGTTCGCCAAGTGCCAACCACGAACCCTAAAGCGCTACCTTCTATGTGATGTTAATATAGGAATACAGGTATAGTTAGTGACATCTAACGCTATGGTCGTTTCGTGGCGAACGCTATTCAAAATAGAGACTCGATTTGCACTCAAATCAAAATCCCTTCACTTCTCATATGATTTGTAATTTTTGTTTACAATTTTGTCATTCAATTGTTGTTTAGTTTTGGACCTAAATTATATTCAAATTAATTGTGTATTAGTTTTTAATGTGATTTTGAATTCAATTATGGATTCAATGATTAGTATAAACGATATTTTGGATGAATTATTGTCTGAAAACAATAGACTTTTACATGAAATCCAATGTTTATGTGAAATGAAAACACATTTAATTAAAATTCACTCAAAATATGAAACACTTATCGATTCAGAAGACAATCNATGAAGTTTACGATTTTGTTTGTATCGATTCAGAAGACAATCAACACTTCCGGACATTATCTCAAACATTGGATCAATTGAATGAGCAGAAGAGCACACGTGTTAACAACAATGGTATTACCATTGAATCTGATTTGCGTCTTAAGAGTCCATCGAAACAATTGAAGCGAAAAATAAAACCTCAAAAACAAGAAGTGATACAAACTTTCAATGATATCAATACACACACAGACATTGGTAACGAAGACTTGGATCAAGATATCGATGAATCAGATGATAATATTGTGGGCACAGAGACTGTCAAAGAGGAAGCGGTGATCAAAACGGATTCAAATCAATCACTCTATGAATTGTTGCGACAAAATAAGTCCGAAAGAGAGAAATGTTTTAATTTAACCACAAATGCATTCATTTGTCCCATAAATGAGTGCCAAAAGAGTTTTAGAAATGACGACACATTTTACAGACACTTATGTGATGTTCACACAAACCGTCACTTTAAGTGTGGATTCAAAGGATGTGATAAAGTATTTAAGAAGTTGTCTACTCTTAAGATACACGCCTTTACTCATGAGAACCGACGGATCAGATATCGGTGTGAATATAAAGACTATGGAAAAACATTTTTGAATAGATATGGTCTGAAGAGACACGCTATGACACACATCACTCAAAGCACTTCCACACCAATTGTCAAGAAGTTTAAGTGTCATTACAGCGAATGCCAGAAGAGATTCGCGAGAAAAGAAACTTTAAACGTGCATTTGGAGAGACATTCATCTGTGAGGCCCTATAGGTGTGACTGCATTGGGTGCGAGAAGTGCTTTAAGACATCAACTGATCTCAAGAACCATTCATTACTACACCAAAGCGGTCCCACTCTTAGGTGCGATATCGATGGATGTGTTGATATGTTTTACACCGAATACCACCGAAGCCTTCATCACAAGTCTGTTCACAATTTGTGTTCAAAAAAGTCTGGTATTTGTGCTGAAGATGTGAAACAAGACGTCACCGAAGATTCGGATGAGAATTGTATCGAAACTATGAATTCAAACAATTCATTGCGGAATCTATTGACGAGTAATCGCACGGAAAGAGAGAAATGTTTTGATTTGAATACAAAGACATTTAAATGTCCGCTAAATGAATGTAAGAGTAGTTTTGCATCAAATAAACACTTTTACGCGCATTTGCTTTATGTTCATCCGATTCAGACATTTGTGTGCGAATACAAGGATTGCAAAAAAGTATTTAAAACACGACCTGATTTTAAACTCCATTCAGACTATCATTTAAATGGCAAACAATTTAAATGTCAGTATAATGGCTGCACTTTTGAAGCGCTAACAAATACATTATTGAACAGACATTTGGAGACCCACTCAACTGACAGACCATTATTTACATGTGATGTCATTGACTGCGGGAAGACATACAAGACATCTGTTGGTCTTTTAACACATTCGCGGACACATGTAAGCCGACCGACACTGAAGTGTGGTATCAATAGATGCAATGATATGTTTACGACTGAACACCAAAGACGCAAACATCAGACCGAAGTCCATAATCGGGCGCCACTTATTCGCCGAATAATCATCCATCGGTGCGATTGGCCGGGATGTGAGTGGAGCGGCAAGAATAAGAAAGACCATAAACGTCTACATTCGGGTGAAAAGCCATTTCCGTGTTTATGGCCCGACTGTGGCAAACAGTTCCGAAAGAATAGGAATTTAAGTGATCACATGAATGTTCACAACAATGTTAAGCCCTATGCCTGTCATTGGCCCGGATGTACATACAGTGCCACTAATAATGCTAATGTTTTTAAACATACAAAACAAGTTCACAAAATGTAATTAATTTTTAACTTTTATAACACATTTATAAATCCATTGAACGAAATCTAACCATTTTTAATATACAATAATTGGTATTAAAATTCTTGCATTATATAAAGTTTTGCCAAATATTGTACAAAATTAATTGTATCGTAAAAAATAAATTGTGTTAACATTTCAATAAAAATCATTTTTAATGAAATATTTATTGCATTTAATAATGAATTGAATTTTTGAAAAGTTTGGAAAATATTATGCAATGAATTGAAAATCCCTTCACTTCTCATATGTTTAGTATTTTTTGTTTACATTTTTGTCATTAAATTGTTGTTTAGTTTTAGACTTAAATTATATTCAAATTTATTGTGAATTAGTTTTAAATATGATTTGAATTCAATTATGAATCCAAAGATTTATATAAACGATATTTTGGATGAATTAATGGTTGAAAACAATAGACTTTTACATGAAATCCAATGTTTGAATGAAATGAAAATATATTTATTTAAAATTCACTCAAAATATGAAACACTTATCGATTCAGAAGACAATCAACACTTCCGGACATTATCTCAACGGTTGGATCAATTGAATGAGCAGAAGAGCACACGTGTTGACGACAATTATATTATCATTGAATCTGATTCGCGACTTAAGAGTCCATCGAAACAATTGAAGCGAAGAAGAAAACCTCGAAAACAAGAAGTGATACAAACTTTCAATGATATCAATACACACACAGACATCGGTAACGAAGACTTGGATCAAGATATTGATGAATCAAATGATAACATTGTGAACAGAGAGACTGTCAAAGAGGAAGCGGTGATCAAAACGGATTCAAATCAATCACTCTATGAATTGTTGCGACAAAATAAGTCAGAAAGAGAGAAATGTTTTGATTTCAATACAAATGTATTCATTTGTCCGATAAATGAGTGCCAAAAGAGTTTTAGAAACGACGACAACTTTTACAGACACTTATGTGATGTCCACACAAACCGTCACTTCAAGTGTGGATTCAAAGGATGTGATAAAGCATTTAAGAAGTCGTCTACTCTTAAGATACACGCCATCACTCATGAGAACCGACGGATCAGATATCGGTGTGAATACAAAGACTGTGGCAAAACATTTTTAAATAGATGGGGTCTGAAGAAACATTTTATGAAACACATCACTCAAAGCACTTCCACACCAATTGTCAAGAAGTTTAAGTGTCATTACAATGACTGCGAGTGGAGATTTGCCACAAGAGGACAATTAAAAGCACATATTGCAAGACATTCATCTGAGAGGCTTTATAAGTGTGACTTCATTGGGTGCGGGAAGTGCTTTAAGGGATCAAATGATCTCAGGAACCATTCATTACTACACCAAACGGGTCCCACTCTTAGCTGTGATATCGACGGATGTGTTGATATGTTTTACACCGAATACCACCTAAGCCTTCATCACAAGTCTGTTCACAATTTGTGTTCAAAAAAGTCTGATATTTGTGCTGAAGATTCGGATAAGAATTGTATCGAAACTATGGATTCAAACAATTCATTGCGGAATCGATTGAGAACTAATCGCACGGAAAGAGAGAAATGTTTTGATTTGAATACAAAGACATTTAAATGTCCGCTAAATGATTGTAAAAGTAGTTTTGCATTAAATCGAAACTTTTTCATTCATTTGCTTTATGTTCATCCGATTCAGACATTTGTGTGCGAATACAAGGATTGCAAAAAAGTATTTAAAACACGACATGATTTTAAACTTCATTCAGACTATCATTTAAATGGCAAACAATTTAAATGTCATTATAATGGCTGTAATTATGAAACGCATACAAATGAACTATTGAACAGACATTTGGCGATTCATTCAGCGGACAGACCATTGTTTAGATGCGATGTCATTGACTGCGGGAAGGCATACAAGACATCTGTTGGTCTTTTAATACATTCGCGAAGACATGAAAGCCGACCGAAACTGAAATGTGGAATCGATGGATGCAGTGATATGTTTACGACTGAACACTACAAACGCAAACATCAGACAGAAGTCCACAATCGAGCGCCACTTATTCACCGCAAAATCATCCATCGGTGCGATTGGCCGGGATGTGAGTGGACGGGCGATCATTTGAAAGCTCATAAACGGTTACATTCGGGTGAAAAGCCATACCAGTGCTTATGGCCCGACTGTGGCAAACGGTTCCGAATGAATAAGAATTTAAGTGATCACATGAATGTCCACAACAATGTTAAGCCCTATGCGTGTCATTGGCCCGGATGTACATATGGGGCCACTAATAGTGGTAATCTCGTTAAGCATACAAAACAAGTTCACAAAATGTAATTAATTGTTATTTTAAATGAATTTATAATTGATTGAAGAAATCTAATCTTAGTTTTACTAATTTGTATCAAGTTTTGCTTATCTTTTACATTGTATAAACATTTGTCAAAAATTATAGAAATATTAATTATGTATTTGTAATAATTATAAAACATAAATTTTGTTTTAATTTTTTAATAAAAATAAATTTTAATTATTAATAAATATTTATTACTTTTTATAATGAAATGAGTTTTTGAAAGTTTGGTAAATAATATGCAATGAATTGAAAATCCCTTCAATTCACACAACATGTAAAACATGTCATGTTTTGTCTTTGTTTATATTTTTATCATTCAATTGTTGTTTAGTTTTGGACTTAATTTGTATTCAAATTAATATTAATATTAATATATAAATAGTTTTAATTATATTTTTAGTTTTAATTATGGATTCAATTATTTATATAAACGATATTTTGGATGAATTAATGGTTGAAAACAATAGACTTTTACATGAAATCCAATGTTTGAATAAAATGAAAATATATTTATTTAAAATTCACTCAAAATATGAAACACTTATCGATTCAGAAGACAATCAATACTTCCGGACATTATCACAAACATTGGATCAATTGACTAATCAAAACATCACACGTGTTAACCATATTATCACTGAATCTCGATTTAATAATCCATTGAAACGAAGATTTCAAAAGCAAGAAGTGATACAAACTTTCAATGATATCAATACAGACACAGACATCGGTTCCGCCCAAGACTTGGGCCAAGATATTAATGAATCAAATGATAACATTGTGGACACAGAGACTGTTAAAGAGGAAGCGGTGATCAAAACGGATTCAAATCAATCACTCTATGGATTGTTGCGACAAAATAAGTCCGAAAGAAAGAAATGCATTAATTTAATGACAAAAGCATTCATTTGTCCGATAAATGAGTGCCACAAGAGTTTTAGAAATGATGACACCTTTTACAGACACTTATGTGATGTCCACACAAACCGTCACTTCAAGTGTGGATTCAAAGGATGTGATAAAGCATTTAAGAGGTCGTCTA